TAAGTCCATTGTAAATCCCAAGGTTGGCAGAGCATAGCAGGCTGCTGAACAATGACACAGCTACATGCAGGGTCCAAGTGTGCCATAGGCTAGAAACCATTCCCCAAGGCTTCTCCTTATATACAGGAAGCAGACCACATCCCAAAAGCAACTACTTAGCTGCTTGTGGTAGATCCTACCATGGCGCTGATTGCCATTCCCATTAAGGAGAATAACTACCATCATCTGCCCAGCTACTCAACAGGCCTGGCCAAGTTGATACACAAACATAACTACCACAGTGCGTTACTCAGGAATATTTTCCATATTTATACTTTTAATTAGAATTTCTGTAGCTTTTACTTGTGGTTTGTGAATCGTGTGTTGTGTTTGTTGACTGAGTTTTTGTTTTCCTGTCTCTAGACCCTCCCCTTGAATTACCCTCATTCTATATGACTCCTTCTCACCGTCAAGTGGTATTTGAAGGGGACAGCCTCCCTTTTCAGTGCATGGCCTCATATATTGATCAGGATATGCAAGTGCTATGGTATCAGGATGGGCGAATAGTTGAGACGGATGAATCACAAGGCATCTTTGTTGAAAAGAACATGATTCACAACTGCTCCTTGATTGCAAGGTAAACTTTCTAAAATGAAGAATTGTCTTTGTATCTTTTATTTATCCTTTCAGGATTGTAATGTTTAGTTGCAGTTTGAATTAATATTTTTTTCTTATCTTGCATTGTAAAATGTAGACATCTAGTGTTAACTTTCCTGATTTTTATTTGTCTAAAATTAAATAATCGTTGTTTCCCTCCAGTTTTAGAAGAAAAATAGATAGGATAAAAGGAGACATTTTCTAAACTTTGATGCCTTTTGATTAAAATCTGAGGAAGGAAAATGTAAACTTGTTGTGACAAACTTAATTTTAACCATTTTTTGTCCTAAGAGCATATTTTCACTTTTAGGAGTCACCTATATTCAGTGTTTCCTACTTGATTAATGCTGCATTTTAAGATAATTCTTCTCTTTAAGCCACTAGTATAAAAGAATAATAACACCCATTTTGTCAACTGTATAATTCCAGTGAGCACTGAAATTATTAATTTGAATGAACTTTATAAAGAGTAAGCATATATTATCATACTTAGATTATAGTTCTTTAAAGCAGTACCAAGAAAAAAATTAACCCTAGGGATAACACATCTTTTCCTAACATTTTGATTGTTAAAGACACTTGCAATGCAGTGAATTGCTTAATATGACCCTTCTAGCCACAGTCCCCATTTTGTGATATATGGTAAATCCCAGTCTCTGTGCCTGTTTGTGGGGCAATGAATCTTGAGTCCCACCTTGTTAGAGAGTGTGACTCGTCAACACTCTTAGTTTCCTGGAGGGTCTGTATGTGAATGCTTCTGCTCCGGATCCAGCATTTGGTTTGTCATCATCTCACCTCTGGAGTTGTGACAGCAGCCAGTTGTCTGACTTGCCGATTTGGGTTCTCCAGCTACTGCAACCACATGAGAAAGGAGCAGCCTCCAGACTACGCCTGACCCATGCATTTGGAGCTTGCTAGCCTCCCAGCCTCCACCACCATGTGTGTGAGTTCTGTGAGACATTATCAGAGAAGTACGGAACCCTAAGAGGGGAAGGAGATTACTGAGGGGAGAAGGAGGGTGTGTTAGAGACAATGGAATGGTACAGCAGTTTGGAAAACTTGGACATTTGGGCTGTCTTTCTCCTCTGCCTCATGGGGACTAGCCTGGTGCTGATTCTTCAAAAAGAAATTATTCGAGCAACACTCACTGTAGTGAAAATCTTTCCTATGAAGACTGAGAAGTCCTTTACCCATGAGTCACCCCAGAATAATAAAGAGGTCATAGCAGAAGAGACTTTGTGTTCACTGGATTAGTTAAGCTGAGATATACCTGCTCATTCTTTATTGGTTTCCTTATTTTATTGAATCTTCATTAGTAAGAGTCTATGTTGATAGTTCTTCTGAACCAAAAAAACCCACTGCCATTGAGTCAATTCCGACTCGTAGTGACCCCCATTGGATTTCTGAGAGGGTAAGTCTTTATGGAAGTAGATTACCCAATCCTTCTTCCAAGGAGTAGCTGGTGAGTTTGAACTGCCAGCCTTCTGGTTAGCATTCACATGCCTTAGGCACTGTGCTACCAGAGCTCCTTGATGATTCTCTTAGAAGATCAAATTAAATCTACCCTCTACTCCTTAAATCTCCATAATTGCAATTTGGAGGATTCCTGGAAATTTTATCCCAGTAATTGCTTTTAGACATAAAAGGCATGGCTAAATCTTACCCAAAATGTGTTTCTGTACTGTATTAGGACTGTATCATTTCCCATGGGCCATGCCAGAGTGCCTTGGGGCTCCTTACTGTATTCACCGAGGTACTGTGGGATATTGTCAATTTCAGAGGGAAGCATAGCGACTCAGGCTGCAACAATGGACTCAGGTATTGCAAGGATTGTGAGGCTGGCACAGGCCCGGGCAGTTTTTCGTTCTTTTGTACATAGGGTCTCTATGAGTCAGAGCTGACTCTACGACACTTAACAACAACAACAACAACAATAGTGACACTTGACATCTGTTGGGCACCACTCCGCTGCTTACTCCACTTGTTTTACTGGGTTGACATTAGACCATCCTTTGGTCCTTTGGGGGTGACATTCTTTGGGATGCTGGTTTTCTGGCAATTACAATGATAAATGCACATATTGTGGGAAAATCATGTGGAACAGGAGATAAGGAACAGGAGATAAGCGTGTCAGTGTGTGATCTCAATCTGAAAAGTGAGTAGGTGAGTTCTAGTAGGAACTCACCTCTCACTGGTGAGTAATTACAGTTCTTTAAGAATGAAATGCATTTTTCAACTTGTGTGTTTTTTTCAAGTGCTTATTAAGTTGATAGGACATAAGAACATAGTTTTGGGATTGAACTTAGTGAATAGAACCGCCATAGTTATTTCCTTTGGCCTAGTGACACCAAGAAAAAGTTGCCGACTCACTGAGGCTCTGTGAACTGAGAACGTTTGGGCACTTCTGGATTTGAGAATGTTTTTCTGTGCCAAAATATTCTATATAGTTTTATTCCTCATCCAGCAGAGCCAGGGAAAAGCAGGAGGTTTGACAGACTTTCTGGTTACTTAGATTTAATGCCAGATTGTTTTTATGTTGTCTTATCTTGAAAATATTTATGGCAGTATATTGATTTTTTTCCCCCCTGAACTTAGTGAGTTAGTATAAATTATAAACATTTTCTTTGATCATTCGGAATCTAATGCTGTCTCAGAATTATTAGGACATTTGCTGTTTTGTTGAAATGTAGCCATCAGTGATTTAGGAGACTGTACAGATGTGTGTTTGAGACATAATTTTATTAGTTAATTAAAGTGATACATGCTTTATGTGTAATTGTCTCTTATCATTGGCACATACATAAAAGCCAAGCAAGGCAAGGAGAGTTGAGGTTAATTGAGGTTTCTGACATTTACTTTTCAATTAATAGGTGTTGTATTAGAGATTTAAGGAGCTATGGTAGCACAGTGCCTAAGGTATCTGACTGCTAATCAGATGATTGGTGGTTCAAACCCACCAGCCACTCCACAGAAGCAAGACTGGGCAGTGTACTTCCGTAAAGATTTCCCGCCTTGGAAATCCAAAGGAGGTCGCTAGGAGTCAGAATAGATTCGATGGCAATGGGTTTGGATTGGTTTTTGGTATTAGGAAATTAGGATTTCATCTTGAAAATTGAATTTACTGACAGCCATTTAGATATAAGCTCTTTTACTGACTGAAGTATATACCTTTACATGGAAAAGTGCTCTTGTTAAAACATTAATTGGCAATTTACTAAATCTTTCTAGAGGTTTAACTGGTTATTAGCCTTCCAGAAAATATTTTACCTTGAATATATTCTTAATTATGTAATTCATAGGTGCCTGGATCATGTAGACTGTTTGCTCCTGATTAATAACCTAAAAGTTAGTGGTTTGAACCCACCTGGTGGTGTCACAGAAAAACGACCCAGTGATCTGCTCTGTAAAGATTACAGCTAAGAAAAACCTATGGCAGTTATTCCTACTCTGCAACACGTGGGATCGCCATGGGTCGGGTGACACAGCTGTGGGTTATGATCTTAGGGATGCTACTTAAATGCATTGAGCCTCTATATCACTAGCTGTAAAATGGGACATAACTGTATACTTCATATTATCATTTTCCTTTCTTCATGCTTGAATGTTTTCCTCAGAGTCCGTGAAAGGTAGCTGTAACTTGGAATCTTCTCCATTAGTTCTCTGTTCTAGCAATACACCTGCCCCAGAGGACTAAGTGAACCACTTTCCTAAGATAGAACTGCCCACTGGCTCCTACTTGGGGAAGAACCCTTCCACCCACCAGTCTTCTACAACCTCAGACTGTGCAGAAGAAACTGAAGGTCCTCTCTGCAGACAGGCTGCTGCCCTACCAAAGGGCTTGTGGGCTGGCTCTACTCTGCACCAACCACTGCCTTCTCATTTCATGTTGGCGGAGTCCACTTAGCCTGTGGGACCACCTGTCTATGCTGCTGAACGTGCTGCCCTCCATGGGAGGCCTGTGGGACCCCAGCTTTGGCTGCAGGACCTGCTGCAGAGCTGTAGCAGCCCTACTGTTCCCAAGTCCCTGCACCTCCCTGAGGACATCGCTCTGTGCCAGCACTCTCCTCTGCAGGCTTCCTAGGTCAGGATGTGCTCAGAGCAGGACGTTCCTGCACTCAGCTCCCAGGGTGAAGCTGCTATACACGTCTGTTTTCTCAGATCTTTGCGACTCGCCTCCTTGGACCATTTTGAGGTTCCACTCTGAGTTGAGTGCTTTTGTGAGCACTGGGCTTAAAGGATCAGAAACCTGTCTCGGCAGGTTCCACAGAGAACTTCAAGGATCAGCTTTTCCAAAGACATAGTTCAGCTCTGGCTTCAGTGTGAAGTGGTGTAGTCAGCTTTGATCACTTACCTGTTCCCTGACCCCTGGGCCGCCTTTGAGCATCTTCAGTCATCCAGCAACTTGCCATGAGTGGTAAATGTTTCCTCATCATACCCAAGATTGTGGTTGACATATTGTATGATCTGATAAAGGAAGGCCATAGGGGCTTTACAGCCATTACCTTCTTAGAGGTTGAGCTGGACAGAAGCAACCAGTACATTCTAGGCTGAGATCCTGGATCACTGGGCCAGCCTGATGCCTCAGAGCCTTGTGGCATCCTTGACTTCTGCAAAGATCTGCTGAAATCATCTAGGCCAGGCACACTTGACCCCAGCACCTGGTCCCTGTGATCATGGGCTTCCGTTTGGACACCCTAGGACTTTCTCATGCAGTTGGTGCTGGGGACAGCAACTGACGCTGGTGTGGAAGTAATAGCCGGCACTCTGCGGCAAGTGGAAGGCAGTCAGCTGACATTATCACTTCTCTCTTCCTCTTCCTCCTTCATCACTTAGGAGTGGAACTCAATGTGCTCATCTTTATTGTAAGCAAATAATGCTGAAGGACATGTGGTGCAAACGCGTGTCTATATCTCGTCCTGGGTAAAGTGTTAGTGTTCCAGCTTCCAGAGCCTTCGTGTTTCCTGCTTTGTCATCTTGGCTTGATGGCTTGTTCTCTATGAGAAAAATCTGAAGGTTAAACAAATTCAGTGCTTAGCATTCTTATGGAAAACAGCAAGTCCAGATCCAATTTACTTACCTCTGTTTTTTGATATGAAACTTTGAACTTTTACACTGTTTTATTGTGATGGGACTATACCTGTTACCTAAGGTAGACCACTGCCATCTATGAAAATTCAATAAATATAAAGCAAAATTAAAAATCAAACAAACAAAACAACCTGATGTTTCAGTTCCCCCTTGTCCCTTTTTCTGTAAGGAGAAGTCTTGCGTGTCATGAACCACTATGCTTTGTTCATGTCGCTGTTACAGCCCATACCAGAGTTTTTCAGGTATCCCTGTACCTGTTTGTCTTCTTGACTTGCTGCTGAAGTACTTAAAGGGAGGGGTGGTTTTATTCATTTGTCATCTAGCAAGTACTGGGACCACAATGCATTTGAACATATTTACAAGATGAACGCTGAAGCTCATGTTGTCTCCCTTGATGCCTGACTGCGTTGTCTCTCTTTTCACATTCTTTCTTCATGCAGTGCCCTGACCATCTCTAATATTCAGGCTGGATCTACTGGAAACTGGGGCTGTCACGTCCAGACCAGACGTGGGAACAACACGAGAACTGTCGACATTGTGGTGTTAGAAAGCTCAGCGCAGTACTGCCCTCCGGAGAGAGTGGTAAACAATAAAGGGGATTTCAGGTCAGTGATATGGAAAGTACTGAAGAGGCTAGACTTAGCCCTTAACCCCTTTTTGTTCTCAAAGGCACATGGTTGGTCTCCTAGCTTCAGTAACAGATTCTGAGGAATGTATATGCGTGCGTTACATATGTCCTTGTGTTGCTGTCACCCTTTAGAACAGAGATGCCTTCAGAATCCTCCAGGGAGATGAAAAAAGAAACAGTGGATGTTTCTGCTTGAACCTTATCCCAGATCTGTTGAATTAGAGTCTCTTGAGGTTAAAGCCAAAAGTGTTCATTTTTAACAGGGGTTTTGCTGTCCAAGTTCAGGGTAACATTGTGGATAGTGTGCAGAAGTGCTGCAAAATTCAGACAGGCTAATGGTGTTTCCTGTTTTTCCAAGGACTTTTTTTTTTGGTGTATGTTTTGCTCTGTATATTCTCAACAACAACAAAATAAAGTTATATATAAAAAACATAGACATTTAGGACATAAATGGAGGCATTTAACCATGGACTGACTGGCTATTAAACAGTGGAGCTATTGGTGGTTTTCAAGGGCATGATAATGGCACTGTGTTAATCTAAGAGAACATCTCTATTCTGAGGAGATCTATGCTGAATCCAAGGACTTTTTTATAGAAGAAGATGGGAAACATGAGTCTGGCTAAGTTACTTTTAATTATTACAAGGAGCCCTGGTCATAGTGGTTAAACACTTGGCTGCTAACTGAAAGGTTGGCAGTTCTAATCCACCCATTGGCTCCGTAAGAGAAAGCCCTGGCAGTCTGCTTTTGTAGAGATTACAGCCTAGCCAGCCCTATGGAGCAGTTCTACTCTGTCACTTGGGGTCTCTGTGAGTCGAAATCAACATAGTGGCACCTAACAACAATATTGCCAGTTTGGCAGACAACTGAATTAAGAGAAACATATAGATAATATTCTTTCCCTGTTTTGTTCTTCTGGCAATTAAGTGAGAAGGATTGGGGAAATGAAAGGTTTTCTGCAGCCTGCAACTTGGGGAGCCATTGAAGCCCCAGGTGGGTTTGTTGGGCTCTGGTGGCATAGTGCCTAAGGCATTTGACTGCTAACCAGAAAGCTAGTGGGTCAAACTTACCAGCCACTCCTTGGAAGGAAGGTTGGGCAATCTACTTCCATGGTGATACTGCCTCAGTAGCCCAAGGAGGGGTCGCTATAAGTCAAATCTGACTCGATGCCAGTGCATTTGCTGTTTGGTTTTGGTTAAGATAAGCAGGATGAGTTAAATATTAAGGATTTATCTTGCAGAAAATTTAAAACTTGTGAGAGGTAGTACCTTTTACCTCAGATTCTCCATAATTTCAAAATTGCTTAAAAACATTTTAAGATAAATTATTTACTTGGTACTCTGTATGTTTGGGGAATTTTTCATAATGAGGTTATAAAAGCTCAAACGAAACCCATTGCTGTTGAGTTGATTCCAGTTCAGGGTGACACTGTGTGCTTCAGGGTAGAGCTATGCCCCACAGCGTTTTCTTGCCTAGAATCTTAGGAAAGCAGATCTCCAGCCCTTTCTTCCATAACACTACTGGGTAGATTTGTAGCCGAGAACAAGCCATTTGACCACCCATGGACATGATATGGTTATGGCTGATGTAAATGAAAGGACATTGATTGCTTTTTTAAGCAGCGAAAAGACTGTTGTCTGTGATCGGTACATTGCACCTCACAGCTATAGGTGAAGGAAAACGTTTGTGCATTAATTTTTTAAATCTGAAGTGAAGAAGGGATGGTCTCTAGCTCAGCAAATTCTTCATTGCTCTTCTGTTTATTGTCTCTTGGCCCCACCTTGTTTCAATACTTTGCTCTTTCACACCAGTATATGGAAATCAGCATATTTTATAATTGCCAACGGATAAGTATCTTATGTGGATTAACTATTGATCAATGATATTTATATTGCATACTTTAAGGCCAAAATAGATAACATTTGTTAATTTTATTATATTCATCACCTTTTATGAAAACAAGCATAGGATGATATCTTCTGTTTAGGGTGTATTTTCTATCTTTTTTTCTCATAGTTTTTGAGTGCTTTCATTTTTAATGATAGATGAAAATACTTAAAAATATAACCAGTTAATGAATTATTTATCTTTTGATATTCCTTAAGATATTATACAATTAAAATCTCATTGTATTAGTAAGATTTAGTTTAGTGTTACTTGACCTGTTTATGCCCTTTCTGGTAGTGAATTATATGTGTTGTGACTTCAATTATTATTCAACAGCTCTTCTTATGCATCAGCTTCAACTTGTAGTAATGTATTAGTTCAATTTCATTCCCAATTTTGGAGGCATTAATAATGGAGAGCAAATTATAAAGATTCCTCCCAACCCGGTCAGTGATGATCCATGTCAAAAGGCATGTAGTCACCTGCATACTGAGAGGCTTCTCCCTCATAAATTCAGCTATGTACTGTGTTGGGGGTCCCCAAGACCACCCTTGTGTTCAGAAATTTGCTAAAAGGACTTAAGAGACTCAGTGTAGAGTTGGACTTAGTAAGATTTGTTGAAGTGACATAGTGAGGGTATCAGGTCCCTGGGTGGCATAGATGCTTTTGCTTTTGGCTACTAATCAGAAGGTTGGCAGTTCAAACTCACCCAGCACTGCCACAGAAAGGCCTGGTGATCTGCTTCCATAAAGAACACAGCCCAGAAACTTTATGGAGCTCCATTGTACTCTGTTACACTTGGTGTCAGTGTGGGTCGGAATCTACTTGATGGCCATTGGTTTTAGCTTGTTTGGTTTATTACTGTGGATACCCAGTAGATCAAGGCGCTCTGGTGGCATAGTGGATAAGGCACTTGACCGCTAACTAAAAGGTCAGCGGTTCAAACCTGCCACTGCTCCTTGGAAGGAAGACTGGGCGATCTACTCCTATAAAGGTTTATAGCCTTGGAAACCCAGTGGGGGTTGCTGTGAGTTGGAAAGTACTCGATGGCAATGAGTTTGGTTTTCTTTTGTTTGTTTGCTTTTACCCACAAGATCAAAAGGGAAGAGGCATAGATCAGGTCTGCGGGACCCATGTGAGTCTCCCTGTGCTTTCTTCCTCCCACGAGGGAGGGAGAGCCAAGCTGTGTTACACTGGGCAAGATTCTCATCTTCCACATCTGACAGGCATATAAGCCAACAGTATAATAATTTATCAGCCACTGCATTGCATCGATTCCAACTCACAGCGACCCCCACTGGGTTTCCAAGGCTGTAAATCTTTACAGAGGCAAGTTGTCCCACCTTTCTTCTGCAGAGCAGCTGATGGGTTTGAACCACCTAACTTTTGGTTAGTATCAAAATGCCTGAACTCTACACTGCCAGAGCTCCTTTATAATAATAATAGTAATTAATAATAGTAATAAAAAAAAATGCAACACCCATTTTCTCCATTTTAATTTTTTTAACTAGATGAGATACAGTTTCCTTGTTCATTCACAGCTGCATCCTGGACGCTTTAGAATTTTGTTTTAGGAATCTATGTTATTATATTATCTTGTTGTAATAATCTTGGTCTTTAATTTTAAAGATGTTTTGTTTCTTCTCCTTGATCTCATCTCACTGTTATGCACTATACATTTGTTATCTGTTAGACATCGTTCCACTCTTGGACAGCGGAGAAAAGACCGAGTCATCTGCTCTCGTAGATTAAAATGTGGGAAACCACATGGGGCAGTTCTGCTCTGCCCTACAGGGACTCTGTAAGTCAGAATCTCCTTGTGGCACACAATAACAACAGAATTATACAGGCCATGTTTTGGTGCTTGACTTTTTTCTGGATTACTACTTTTTTCATTTAGCTTCTTCTGTCCTATTTTGTTTTCACCTGTCTAGGTGGCCCAGGACACTGGCGGGCATTACCGCGTATCTGCAGTGTACACGGAACACTCACGGCAGTGGGATCTACCCTGGGAACCCACAGGAGGAGAGGAAGGCGAGGCGTAGATGTGACCGAGGTGGCTTTTGGGCAGATGATGACTATTCGCGATGCCAGTATGCAAATGACGTCACTAGAGTTCTCTATATGTTTAATCAGGTAAGTGGAGAGTCTTCATATTGACTGTAAGTTGTGCGTACAGCGTGCTATTCAACCCAAATACATGCTCCTCCCCCTCCCAGCTAGGTAAAGTATAAGGATTTGGTGTTTGTACTTCATGTCTTCTGAAGATCTGTTTAGAGATTTTTGTGTCTTCAGAGTCAGGTGTGAGCTTCTTCACTGGTGTTGAGGGCCCTGTAGGAGTCCCTGCTGTTGGTGGGTACCATCAAGTTGAGTCCAACTCCTGGTGACCCCATGTGACAGAATAGAATCTTGCCATACAATTTTCTAGGCTGCAGTCTTTATGGGAGAAGATTGTCTGCTCTTTGTCCCAGAGAGCTGCCGGGTGGCTGCAAACCACGTGCCTTTTTAACAGACAAGTGTTTAACCATCATGCCACCATCACTCCTTCTGGGAGTCCCTGGGACGCACAAAAATGGTTAAGCACGTGACTAGTAACCAAAAGGTTGGATGTTCTCATCCACCCAAAGGTGCCTAGGTAGAAAGGGATCTATTTCTAGAAGGTCACAGCTGTTGAAAAAACAGCTCTTGGAGCACAGTTCAATTCTGAAACACATAGGCTTGCCCTGAGTCAGAATTCTTGATGGAAACTTGTCTTGTTGTTGGTTTTTTTTGGATTATGGCATCATTCTTCCTTCCTAGTCATGGCCTAACTTTCCTGGGCCTTTGCTTGAATACCTTTATCATCTGTGTTTTGGGCCACATCCTAGCCATCCTTTAAGTCCACCTGGAGAGCTGCTTCTTGGGTGCCTTCCGTTATCCTCATGTGCCTTTTGTTGCTTTCGCTTCCCTGCATCTGTTCTAAGCCGTGACAGACAGTGAACAACTTGACACGATTTCAGTGCTGTACATTCATTTCCTTACGCAGTTCACCACCTAGTGTGCCATTTTGCGGTGTTTGATGCTAAGTCAGTGTCTGAGTCACTAAATAACACATGGGGAACGTGACTAGCCCTGCATGGCCATAGAGGTAAGTGCTCCACAGTGGTCCATGCGCTGGTGCAGCAGTTCCAGGAGGAGTTGATGACTCCAGCTGGGGCACTCAGGAAGGGCTCTACCAAACAGCTGGGATGGAGGTGTGCGTAGAACGTGGGTCAGCAGAGAGCAAGATGGTGCAGCATGTTGACCTGATGTGCTTTTATGGATTATTATGTTTCAGCCCAAGTTAATAAAAATTTTCCCTAAGTTAGTTTCCATTCAAATTCCAGTTTCCTTGGGTTTGAGCAAGCATTTTTAGGGAAGTCATGGGGAGTACCTGACAAAGTACTTTGATTCATTGCCATGTTTTGGAATGCAAAGCTAAGACATCAACATTCACTTTTATCATTTTGCTAAGAGCTTCTTTCTGCCTTTAAATGTAGATGCCTCTCAATCTTACAAATGCAGTGGCAACAGCTCGACAGTTATTGGCTTACACTGTGGAAGCAGCCAACTTTTCTGACAAAATGGATGTTATATTTGTTGCTGAAATGATAGAAAAATTTGGAAGGTTCACCAAAGAGGAAAAATCAAAAGAGGTATTTTTTTGGTTCTGATTTATAGCCTTTGGGGTCCACAAATGGTATATGTGATAATGTTGAATGTATATTTTAAAAGCCTTGCCCCTTTGTGCTATACTTGAACTACATAGCCTTTATAATTTCCAAAGTGTTCATTGAGAAACTTATGCATTGTCTGGGACCTAACGTTGGGAGGAGTAAGGTCGGCTCTCAGTTCTTGGGTTAAAATTCCGTGATTGTTTTGGATTGAATTGTGTCCCACCAAAATGTTCAGTTGAAGTCCTGGCTCTTGTATATGACCCTGATTGGGCATTGGGGTTTATTGTTGTGTCGGTGCCATACTGGAGTAGGGTGGCTGCTGAAGGTCAGCCCTCTGAGAGGTGTTAGAAAAGAGCAAACTGGACAGAGACGGCCACGGGGGAAGACACATGGGGAGGACCGAGGCGTCTGCCAGCCCGGGAGTGCCAAGGATCGTGTGCAGTCACTGGAAGCTGAGAGGCATCGGGGGCTCAGTGGTAGAACTCTTGCCTTCCATGCAGGAGACCCGTGTTCATTTCCTGGCCTGTGCACCTTGTGTGAAGCCGTCTTCCATCTCTCAGTGGAGGCTCGTGTGTTCTGGTGATGCTGAACGGGTTCAGCGGAGCTTCCAGACTAACATGGGCTAGAAAGGAAGGCCTGCAGATCTGCTTCTGAAAATCTCTCAGTGGAAACCTGGGGGACAGAGTGGTCAGATCTGTAGGCAGTCATGGGAACGGTGCAGGAGCAGACATCGTTTTGTTCCATTGTGCGTGGGGTCACCATGGGTCAGAGGTCAACCGGGCAGCAGTTAATAATGACCCAGCGAGGAACAAAGAGATAAAAAAAGAGACAAAGAAGGAACTTTGCACTGAGCTGAGCCCTGAATTCAGACTTATTACTGCAGTACTGTGAGAAAATGAATTACATTTCTTTAAAACCACCCACTTGGGGCACTGCTTTGATTTGACATCACTAGGAAGCTAAGTTAATGATGGAGTGATTAAAGCCAGCAAGAAAGCAGCCTTCTCTGTCTGTGTTGTGGGGTAGCCAGGACTTTTTATCTTGAGCCTTCTGCAATATCTTTTCTCCACACAACCATGTGTTCGTCTCTCTAAGTACGAGTTTAAGTCACCCAAGTCTGTGTCAAGTTGCTGAATTGCTTTTGTAATGTCCTACAGAAGTGACAGGCTATTTAAGAATTTGTTGAAATTTCAAATGACTAGAATATATACATTTTGAAAATTTAGTGATTTTGTAAAGGGTTGCATTTTAATGGGTCCACAGTAAAATTTCAATGTTGTTAGATGCCGTCAAGTCGGTTCTGGCTCATAGTGACCGTTTGTACAAGAGGGCAAAGCCCTGCCCAGTCCTGTGCCATTCTCCAGTCATTGCTCTGTTGGAGTCCCTTGTTGTAGCCACTATGTCAGTCCATCTCCATGAGGAGATGTTCCTCTTTGCTGCTAACCCGGCACATTGCTGACCATGCTGTCCTTCTCCGGGGACTGGTCCTTCCTGATAACATCTAAAGTATGTGAGGTGGAGTCTCACCACCCTACTTTCTAAGAGCGTTCTAGCTGTCCTTTTTCCAAGACAGATTTGTTCATTCTTCTGTCAGTCCATGATATGTTCAGTATTCTTCACCAGCACCATAATTTTAAGGCATCTTTTCTTCAGTCTTCCTTATTCATTGTTCAGCTTTTGCCTGCGTATAAGGCAATTGAAAATACTGTGGCTTGGGTCAGGCACATCTTAGTCCTCAAAGTGACATCTTTGTTTTTTAACACTTTAAAGAGAGAGGTCTTTTGCCTTTTACCAGATATTATATCCTTAAAATAGGAAGAACATACCTGCATGTGTATAAATGGGACAGTGAGATAAAATTCCAGTCTTGTTATGTGATCTTCAGAAGCCATGACTTACTAATGGTCTGGCCTGCTACTCACTTTTGTCTCTGGGCCACAATTCACTTCCCTGTAGGGAGCTCTGGTGGCGTAGTGCCTAAGGCATTTGACTGCTAACCAGAAGGCTGGCGGTTCCAACCCACCAGCCACTCCTCTGAAGGAAGGTTGGGCAATCTACTTCCGTAGTGATGCTGCTTTGGAAACCCAAGGAGGGGTCACTATGAGTCATTTCCGACTCAGTGGCAGTGAGTTTGGTTTTGGTTTAGTGATAAATTTTCATTTGGAAAAACTGTCTAGATTCTGATTCTGTGGTACCTTTGCTCCCTATTCTATATATAGTTCACCGCCTATATGTTAGAAGTCATGTGTGGAAGTGGGGTGTTTTGGGTCACTAAAATGATTGGGTTCATGTTTGGAATTTCAACATTCGAAAAGATTTCTGCCATCTTATAATACACATTTATTCACGTGCTTCCGTGTTCTATCGTGAGGGACATCTGCTGTAATAACTCGCGACTCATGATGAAAAATCACTATAGTCAATGTGTGTTGTCTGGAGGTCCATGTTTAACTGTTTCTGCCAGTCTGAAGTCAACCATCTGCTGCTTTGAAATGTTCTTGGGTGGAAACATCTTGTCGGGGACTGGAAGTCCACTTAGTTTTATGGGTTGCTAATTAACAGTGGTCCATTTCTTTACTTTTAAAATGAGGTTGATATTTGTCTAGCTTCATTTTAAAGTTTGTGGACACCAGTGAGAAGACATAGGCGAAGTGATTTTGCAAACGGTAGAACTCCAGGATATTATTTTATACCAGTGCTTGGTGCCGTTGGGTCAGCCTTGATTCACAATGATCTTGTGGGCAACAACAAAACCCTGCCTGGTGGTGCCATCCTCACAGTCCTTGCTGTGCTTGAGCCCATCCTTGCAGCCACTGTGTCAGCCCATCTCGTTGAGTGTCTTCCCCTTTTTCGCTGGCCCTCTACTTCACCAAGCATGATGTTCTCCAGGGACTGGTCTCTTCACATCATAACCAAAGTAGGTGAGAATATGAGTAGCAGTGAAACCCCTGTATGACAGAGGAGAACAGTGATCCACAAGGTTTCCATTGGCTAATTTTTCAGAAATACATGTCCACGTTTTTCTTCTAGAAGCCTCGGGGACAGTGGGGGGGACTCGAACTGCCAACCTTTTGGTCAGCAGCTGAGTGTGTTAACTATTGGTACCACCCAGGAACTATAGGTTTATGGAATTTGACATTACTGTGATCTTGTAAGTTAAGAAGGGGCTCCTTTAAAAATAAAAATATTGTTGGACTTTTACAATTTCTTATCTAAAAATTCAATTTGAAGGAGATTGCTGTAACTTGACATTGGTTAATGTAGGAGATAACGTTATAATTATCTTTAGAAACAAATGAGAACCACTTAGTAAATATAAATAGGAGAAACGTGGAAAATATTCAAGATTGAACAATTTGAGATACAAAGGTAGATTACCCATACTGGGGTGAGAGACGGCCTATGCAGTTCTTTAACTTGAACTGCCAGCCAGACATAGCTTCCACCGTTTATTAGTATAGTGAAAAGAAATCATGAGGTTTAAAAGCTTCATTTTAACTTAATTATCACAGCATAAAAAAGTTATGTTAAGTTATCCTGAAATGCATAATGCTTGGTTGGAAACAATTAGTTAAACTGATTTTCCTATTATGTCCAACAAGTTCTTCTGCTATAGATTATTTCTTATGTAGGATATCGTGAGGCAGCTGCTTTCTAACAAGTGAATTAGTCTAGCCAACACCAACAGGTACTCTGTTGTCTTCGGACAGGTGGTAAACACTGTTAAACTGTTCAGATCTAAGCAATACATTTAGTTGTGTTTTTTTAAAACCAGCTGAAGGTTGTCTATCAGGCAGTGTACATGTCAAGAGTGATTTTTTTTTTTTTTTTGATGAAAACAGTATATATCCATTGCAGAAAATGAGAAAATGTATAAAGATTCTATTTTTTAGTTTTATAGTCTCAATATTGTCCCCTAGTTTGAAATATGTCAGTGAGACATGCATATTGAAGGCTACTTCACTACTAAGTTAATTTAGCACATACTGTGTATAATATTTTAGACATCATAGTTTTGTCATTGATTCTATTTAAAGCTTACTCATGTGGGGTTTTTTCTTGGTCAAACTTGACAGGATGTTTTGTATCATTAGACTTTTCAGAGTCTTAGCTTCTGGCTGTGTTGGTCCTTTCTAGAGCGTAGTTTCTCAGGCTTGGGCCACCCCCATCATCACTGGTAGCTCTTGAGTCCTTTGCTTTGGCTCTCAGGTTGACCCACGTCATTGAGGGTTTCCTTCCTTTTCACCGACACTCTACTTTGCCAACCATGATGCTCTTCTCTAACAGTTGGTCTTTCCTGATAATGTGTCCCAAGTATGCAGGCTGGGGCCTCGTCATCCTCTCTGTGAAGGAGCTTCTGGTTCTGTTTCTTCTAAGATTGATTTGTTTTTGGCCGTCTGTGATATGTTCAGTGTTCTTCATCACCACACTTCAGATCCATCAGTTCTTCTTCTGTGTTCCTTTTTCATTGTCCGGCTTTCACATGCATATGAGAAGATCGAAAAGACTTCGGCTTGGGTGGGTCAGGCACACCTCCGTCCTTAAAGTGCGGCCTTTGCTTTTCGCAGCAGATTTGCCCAATGCAAGAACTGCATTGTTTGGTTTCTTGACTGCTGCTTCCTTGGATGTTGATTGTTGATCCAAGTAGGCTGAAGCCATTGACAGCTTTAATGTTTTCTTGGTGCTCCATCTGCCCCAAGCAATCGCCTGGCTTGTTGCCCTTCTCCATGTATGTCTGTAACTCTTGTTTGTCTGACTGTTAGTACTGCCCTTTGCTTAAAAACATAGATGTGAGAAGAAGTCTAGATCCCTTGACTTTTCTGGAAAACCACATCGGTTGTTTGATTTATAATTCTGCCAGGTGTGTGAAGATATTTGCCCTCCCCCCCCCCTTTATATTCCTTAATTTATTATGGGATGAGAAGGTAACTGGCACTTAAGTGCACTTTTCATGGGATTTTTATTCTCATTTTGTAGATGAGCAAACTGAGACCCAGACTGATTTGCTCATGGACGTCTCATCTGTAAGTGTGAGAGCTGAACCCTTAACCCAGGAGTCTTTAACTCCAAGGCGTAAATATACAGTCTTCACTGTTACACGGTGCTCCTACTGCATTACAATTAAATATCACCAAGTTGACTTTCTTTTTTATCCTGTGTCCTTAATGTCATAACATAGGAGATACTCATTAAATTTGCAGATGATTGTGACATAGTTTTCATCAGAATGATAAAAGTATGTTTTAAGAAGAAGGTGGATTGTTCTGTCTCTTGCTACCTATGCCCTTTCCCCTCATCACTGTTATTAATTTGATGCTTTCATTTCTGATCAAGTAAATTCATACATGTGTCTGTTTGTTTATCGCAGCTCAGGGATGACAGGTGGAGGAGCAGGTGTGTGATCTCTCTGACCCTTGTGGGGCTGAGTGGCCTCCCGAGAATGAGATCAAGTGGAAACACACTAGTGTCTAAAGCTGGCAGTAATTTTTAAGCTCTTTGGGTGTCAGATTGCAGGAATACTTTTTTAATCCAATGTAATTTTTCATGCACTGTTATCCCTATTGTGTTCTTTTTGCCACCATGACGGATTCTGAATGGCTTCCGTAACCAAGCTACAGAGCATGTAGTAATTTACGATTACCTGCTCTAAGGGATGTTTTTGGCACCAAATCTCTTTCCTCACTCCTTAGCCATTCAGAGTGAAATAATGAGAAAAATACCTTGTTCTCAGCCAAGGCAATCACTCTTGTTAGCTGTATACCTTCATAAAGATATTTCTTTTCTTTACGATTATTATCACAAGTTAAATTCTGTTGCTGGTATTGCCCAGTGGGCCATAGCAGTAGCTCTGTGATCATAAAAATAATCGTATTTTTTCCATAGAGGTGATCCATTGAAGTGACGGTATCTGATCAGGCCTCTTGTCAGATCCTCAGAAAGACTAGACGTTCAGGACTTTTAAAAAATATTAAGTAGCTTCAGTTTAGTTGTAATTGTGATGATCTGTAAAGACCTTACACATTAAGGAGCTTTGGTGGTGTTGGGTTAAAGCGTTGGTCTACTGACCAAAATGTCAGCAGTTTGAACCCATCAGCCATTCTGTGTGTGAAAGATAATATGGCAGCCTGCTTCTGTAAAGAGGTACGGCCTTGGAAACCCTAGGGTTGTTTCTGCTCTGTCCAGAGGATCATGGTGAGTTGGAACTCTGTGGCAGTGGGTGGGTTAGAGTAGAGTCAACATGTTACCATTTATGTTTCTGCAGCCAGTAGGAATTTCCTTCTGATGCTGTTGAACCTATTGTATCACATCTTCTCTTTCACCTATTAATCTTTTTTTTGTGTATAATAATTGGAAATAATAAGGAGGAATAATACATAAAAACCAAGTTATTCAACTATTCTTTGAATTTTGCTAGTCAGTAAAAGCGGAACTTTCAGTATAAGTCAGAGATGGTATTGTCTCTGCCCTGAAGATGCTTATAGTTGGAAATAGGAAAAGGAAATAATTATGATGCACTGTGATGAGGGGAGTACAAAGGTAGTAAGTGTTTTTTGTTTTTTTTTTTAAATTTTGTAATACACTATATTTAGAAGGGGAGCTCTGGTGGCGTAGTGCCTAAGGGATTTGACTGCTAACCAGAAGACTGGAGGTTCAAACCCACCAGGTACTCTTCGGAAGAAAGGTTGGGCAATCTACTTCCGTAGAGATACTGCCCTGGAAACCCAAGGAGGGGTCGCTATGAGTCAGATCCAACTTGACAGCAGTGAGTTTCTTTTTTTTTTTTTTTTTTTTAAATTAATCTCATTTTGTGAAACTGCACAGGAGGAGGAGGGAGTTGTGTTGAATGCATTCGTCCCAATGATGTGTAAACACGTACTTAAAAAAATGCACCCCTCTTATTTGTCATCCTAAAAGGCCATTTTCTTAGACCTTTCTTTTTTGACTGCTACCCACCCTAAAAAAAAAACCCAACCCACTACCGTTGATTGATCGATTGATTCCAGCTTATACGGAATTGAATTTCCAATGTGGCCAGTCTTTATGGAAGTAGACTGCCCTGTCTTATGAAGTGCCTGGTGGGTTTGAATAATAAAGTAATAATAATAGGAGCAAATGTTTTTTAAGTGCTTATAGGAGCTCTGGTAGCATAGTGCCTGAGGTACTTGACTGTTAACCAGAAGGCTGGCGGGTCAAACCTACCAGCCATTCTTTGGAAGGAAGGTTGGGCAATCTACTTCCCTAGTGACACCACCTTGAAAACCCGAGGAGGGGTTGCTATGAGTCGAGTCCTACTCCATGGCACATAACAACAACACAACAGCATAGTATGTCCAGGCATGGTTTCAGGAGCTTTATACTTATTGGAACTTAATCCTCACAACATTCAGAAAAGGTAAGGCTGTTACTATGCCCGTTTTGTAATAAGGAAACTGAGGTACTGAGAAATGTCCTGTCGTGACCCACCGTACTTACTTTGGTTCCTTCACCCCATGTTTCTACGGTTGGGATCTGGTGGAATTCCACAGGCAGGTCTTCTTGTGAAGAAAACCGTGGATGTGATGGACTCAACTTTTCCCCAGACTCCCCTCAGCTTCATGATTATTCATTCTGTGGAGAGTATCCGAAGCAGAATAGGGTTGAAAAACCTTAGCAGGAATCTTCTGGGATGATGAAAAGACACCTACTAACGTGTCCTTGGCTTTCTGTCTTGGCTTTAAGGCTCTGTGCCCTTGCTGCTTGCTTCTTTATTACAGGACCAGCTAGCTCGTGCGTCTTCTGATCCTCCTTCTGGAATCTTTTTGTTCTTCTTTCTGCCACAGATCTCCCTCTCAGAAACATTTTGCCCAACACAAAACTCTCTCTGTACGTCTTGTTAGCCCTGGACCATGGAGCACATTTCTCTGATGTGGGGCATATGAGGCCCTGTACGTAGTGGCTAGTTGACATTTTGCTGGCACATCCTGGTATGTTTACATCTCTGGGTTATGAATTGAGCTAATAAAAAGAATCCCCACATATGAAACAAGTAATACTTGCAATAGAAGGGTAAGTTCTTAGGATCCATTTATTTCATGGCACTGGGTCTCAAAGAAATCATTAAGTTGTGGAGGAGAGGGAAAGAAGGAGGACATCTGAGGTAGAGAAAACCACGTGTGAAGGCACTGAGATGGCACAGCACATCAGGGAACGTGGCCACAGGGAATGTGGGAATTTCGAATGTATCAGAGGAAGTGTTGAGATTGGAGAATAAGCGGGCAGTGAGTGTGTATTTGTCTCAGTTATCTCTGCTGCTGTAACAGAAATACCACAAGTGTGTGACTTTCACAAGCAGAATTTGTTTTCTCACAGTTAGGAGTCTAGAAGTCTGGGTGCAGGGTGCCAGCTCTCAGGGAAGGCTCTCTGGCAGCTCTGGGAGGTTCTTGTCTCTTCAGCTTCTGTTCCTTGGGTCTTTGGCGATCTTCATGTGACCTCACATCTGTCACTTCTTGCATCTTAATCTGTTCCTTTTATGCTACAAAAGAGATTTATTCAAGACACACCTTACACAAATGCAGCCTCATTAACATAACAAAGAAAGCCCCTTCCCAAATGGGATTATAACCAAGAGTACAGGGGTTAGGATTTACAACACATATTTTTTTGGGGCACAGTTCAGTCTATAACAATTTCTTATTTTTAAAATCAAGTAGAGTTTAATTTTTAGCAGTCACTCTACAGAAATAGGCAAATGTTTGTATTTGCGTTAAAACAAAACAAAACAAAAAACTGGCTACTGTAGCAATTTTTGATGTCCAGGCTGAGTTGAGATCTTTTTATTTTGGTATGTTCTGACATCTATTCTTTCCCTGTTACTCATTTAATTGCTTTATTTTCCTCAGTTTGTGGTTACCACACATCAGTCTTTTCACCAGTGACTTGGTGAAAAGGTTCAGTTGGTTCCACTTTTAAATACACTGTTTTGAGCTAAATATTACCAAATGATCATAATTGAAGGTGGTATTCAGATATGAAAACTTTTGAAAGAGAAATAAAATGTCTACTGAGTTTTCATGTGACAATTTAGACTGAAGGCCAAATGCAGTGGCTCATCAGAATTCTCATGATATGAAGCAACCTATGATGGTTTTAAAGGTCTTTCTTTGATCTCCTGCATGTCTGCTAGCTTGGTGATGTGATGGTTGACATTGCAAGTAACATCATGTTGGCCGATGAGCGTGTCCTGTGGCTGGCACAGAGGGAGACTAAAGCCTGCAGTAGAATTGTTCAGTGCCTACAGCGAATTGCAACATACCGACTAGCAAATGGAGCTCATGTTTATTCAACAGTAAGTGTAATATTAAAATAAAATTCTAAGGAAAACGTTCATTGAAATCAACTCCAACCCAAAAGAGATAGATCTCTTCCCCATTATGGGATAGATATTTTCTGTTCCTGCTGATTATTACAGAATTTCCTTTCTTCAAACAGTTTAGTTTAAAAGTTAATTTTGATTTTGAGTTATCTGGTTTCATGGTAACTGGAAAATGGTCTTTTAATATGTACTTGGAATGGTTCTCACCATTGAAAAGCTGATTGGATGAAAAGAAGAACACTAGAATCACCCTACTGGTACATAGCCATGGTCTGCCCTAGTTCATGTTCTGGGTCTGGAAGGATGTTGAGAGATCATCTGAATGCTTGCTCAGATTTCAGTCTCAGAAGAGAACTGGGATGCCCCCAGCCCTTCATGAATCTGTTGTTATGTTCAGTCGGTTCCACTTTTGGAATAATGAGTTAACTTAATAATCAATACATTAAATAGAATAAAATTTTATTTAAGAGTCTCTGGATGGAGCAAATGGTTAAATACTCAAGTACTAACTGAAAGGTTGACATTTAAAACCCACCCAGAGATGCTTCAGAAGTCAAGCCTGGCCGTCTACTTCTGAAAGGTCACGTCCTTGAAAACCCAATGGAGCAAAGCCCTACACTGTAGCATTGGCCTTGCTATCAGTCATAGTAAACAGCAGCTAAGAACAACAACAAAATTTTTGTTTATGCTAAGTTGAACTGCTCTGAATTTCTTGATGCACTGCTTAGTTTTTGTTCTAAAAAATGAGATCATTAATGTGTTATTCCTTTGTTGTTGTTATGTGCGGTGGAGTTGGACCCAACTCATAGCGACCCCTCCTTGGGTTTCTGAGGCAGTATCACTATGGAAGTAGATTGCCCAACCTTCCTTCCTAGGAGTGGCTTGTGGGTTTGAACCGCTAGCCTTCTTGTTAGCAGTCAAGTACCTTAGGCACTATGCCACCAGAGCTCCCTGTTACTCCCTTAGCAGTCTTAACCTGATCCACGTTTTCAGTTTCCTAATTATTTGGTCAGACTTTATAAAATACTTTACACTTACTGCTACGATTACATACAATTCAAGATTATGATCTTCCCTTTGGTTTCTGGGCCCTTTTCTGATGTTTTATTGTATCTTTTGATAATTAAGTTCACGATCATGTTGCTGAGTAATGAGTAAGATGGAGGCTGGCATAGCTACTGTCTTTACACCACAGTTGAGAACGACTTCCATCAGGAACACATGACCTTACTTTAGACCAGCTTGCCATTTTATTGCCCACGCTTGGTCTTTCTTGGCCATTCAGGCCTGTTTAAATTCGCATTTTTTAACCATGCTTATTACTCAGCCCAGCTACTTTCTTATTTTAAACCTATTGATTTTTCTTAGCGCTCTTGGGTACAGTAAAGGTCATAGTGGGTATCTGAGCACCATTTCAATATGTGAACAAGGCTCTAGGAAATTATACATTTACTAACAACAAGGAATGGTGACACAGTTTCAAGGATGTCTCAGAATAACAGATTTCTCTCTGTTCTGAAGTTTCATGAACTTTGTGTTTATAGTAAGTATTGCAGTTTATCAGCCGCTCTGGTAGTTTTGTAAATGCGACTTTGATTAATAACAATTTGGAATATAGAATATTGTCAGTAAATGTAATTTAATTAATAAAGCTTTTCACAGTGTGTCATCTGTGATGCAAAATCTAGTGCAAATCTTACTAGTGGATATTTTGGGGAAACAGCAATTACTATCTCCCATGTATATGGTACTAGACAAATTCTGTCTGTGGTAGTTCAGTTTGTGTGTCAACTTGACTGGACCTGGTTGAGTGGCTGGGCAGCTGGATGTAATATTCTCCACAATGAGACTAGTAATCAAGTCCATGGTGGAATCTACTGTGAGCAGCTGAGGAGTTGCCGTAGGGATGTGATCTGTTTCCTATATATAAGGAGAAGCTGTTGGGAATGGTCTCTAGCTTATGGCATACTTGGAGGCTGCATGTAGCCGTGTCATTGCTAAGCAGCCTGCCATGCTCTGCCAACCTTGGGACTTAAAATGGACTTGAATTAATGGCTTGCTGTGTAGTTTGGTAACATCGGAACTGTGCCATTTTATTTGTCGACCTTGGCTGGTTAGCCTCATCAGCCAGTAGCTGTCTGAGTGGAGAGATACCTCTAGCTTCAGTGGGCCGAGAGCAAGAGGCAGAGCTGAAGCCCAAGGTCAAGGGGCTTTCACACAGCCCCTAGCACCTGGCACTTTGAACTCAGACTTCTAGCCTCCTGAACTGTAAGAGAATAAACTCCTATTTGTTAAGGCCATCCCATTTGTGGTATATTCTTGTCAGAATGGCAGTAGGTAACCAGAACACTGTCTTACATTTAATAGTTTTTGATTTGTACTTTATTTTTAATAATAGACTCTAAACACCTTGCACTAAAGTTCCATGTTTTTAAAACAAACAAAAATCATTATCAGTACCTATATGTGGAAGTGATGCGTGGCCTACGTGGTGGGTGTATAGTTAAATTATTAAGGAAAGGAGAGAGAAAACATCTTGTCCTTCTTAGAACTTAGGGTAAGTTCTGTCACGTTGCTGAATGTGAGACTTGTCCACTTGCCACTTTGCGTGCCCTCTCTGGCATGTCCTGATGGGTGGCAGTGATGTTGGCATTGCCCAGTGTGGGAATGGCGGCCATTCGTATTGCAGTTGTAAATTTTGGCAGATCCCTTAAGTTCAGTCTCACTCTGGAATTCCTCTCAAACTCCTGGGGCAGGTGCCATATTTTGCAGGAGATTTTTCTTACCTAATGTGCTTTTTAAGTTGGTTTATTTACTATTTGGCACTGGTACCTCCTTTCCTTTCTGAAGAAATAGCTTGAGGTGAGTCTGTGTAATATCTTTATCAGCAAAACTTAACAGAAATAGTTAACTCACACTCCTTGTAAATGGAAAATGTGTACTTGACAAAGGCAAGGTGATTTTTAAGGGTATTTCTTAAACCCTAATACTTACCTTAAGGAGCTTTGGTGGTACAGTGGTTAACCACTTGGCTGCTCACTGAAAGGTTGGTGGTTCGAACCCCCCAGCCATTCTGGGAGAAAGATGAGGTGGTCTGCCTCAGAAATGCCGTGGGGCAGTTCTGCTCTGGCCTGTGGTTTCACTGTGAGTCACAATCGACTCAGTGGCAGTAGGTATGTTTTTTCTTGTTGTTGTTGTTGCTATGTGCCGTTGAGTTGGACCCGACTCATAGTGACCCCTCCTTGGATTTCCAAGGCAGTATCGCTATGGAAGTAGATTGCCCCATCTTCCTTCCGAGGAGTGGTTGGTGGGTTTGAACCGCCAGCCTTCTGGTTAGCAGTCCAGTGCCTTAGGCACTACGCTACCAGAGCTCCCATGTTTTTTGTTAATACATACTTAATGTTTTGTTTCCTCCTACAGTGTGATCACTGATTTCTCTGGATTATTTTTTTTTTAAAGAAACTTCTTATTTTTAGCTTTTACTTTCTTGTCGAGTTTCTGATGCCTTTTGACCAGTTTCTACACTTTCATCTTGTCTTTTCCTCTTCATGGGCTCTCCTTTCATTTTAGGGCATCCTTCTCAGGTGAGGCTCTTCCTTCGTTCTTGCAGGTATCTACTTGGTGTTTCTGCTTAGTAAGAACCTGGGCTTTCGGCTGTGGGCTACTTAACAGTGTTTTCTGCCTGAAAAGCCTTTGAAATACTTTTCTTCCTGTTATCAATCTTTCGTAACTTCTGTTTGATTGACTTTTAAAGTCTTCACCCAGCATTGCTTTGGAAGCTTACATCATCAAGCCTGCTGCCTTCACTGGGATGACGTGCACCGTGTTCCAGAAAGTGGCCACCTCTGACCGCATAGGACTTTCCGACTATGGCAGGCGGGATCCAGACGGAAACCTAGATAAACAGCTGAGTTTCAAGTGCAACGTTTCAAATACATTCTCAAGTCTAGCACTAAAGGTATGTTAGCTTTATAATCATCTTCGATCTTTGCAGTGATACAAGAATGCTCAAATTTTGCCTTTGTAAAATAGCATTTTTGAAAGTTTTGGGGCTTATGCTATTGGTTTTGTTTTGTTGTTGTTGTTTACAAAGAAAAAATTCTGACCACCAAAGGGCCACCTTATGACTTTCATGGTCTTGAGGTATTTTTGCCTTGATTGTGCCCCTTCCTTCATAAAAAGAAATATTAAAAACTGTATTTATGAGTTGGTATAAAAATGAATCTTATTATTACAGAGTAGAGCATCTGCTTCAACCTATGAGTTTATTTGTTTATTCTTTTGCTTCTGATTTAAAACAAACCAACAAAAAAATAAGTAAATAAATGAAATTTTTGTGAGTCCTAGAAGTCTTGTAGGGCTCTAGGCTTAATGGAGAAGTCAGCCCTATTTATCAGACTAGCATGTTTATCAAGACTTGGGATAAACAAGGGAAAATGTGGCATTTGTCTTTTTAAATGTGTGGTTTATTACAGCAAACAAAATAAAGACATTTCTAAAATTAAAGGGTTAGAAGTGTTTTGTGAAACTACGTTGTGCCAAGTAGTAGTAGGGTGGCTCCAATACCCTGAAGTGTTACTAAAAATACCGTTTTTTTCACTTGGCTTTGTGTGGGCTTGTGTGATTGTGTTCTCTGTGGTTTCTAATTGCAGAGTAATGTGTTTGTTTCTAGAGCACTCTGGTGGTGCAGTGCCTAAGGCATTTGACTGTTAGCCAGAAGGTTAGTGGTTCAAACCTACAAGCCAGTCCATGGAAGAAAGGTGGGGCAATCTACTTCTGTAAAAATTCACTGCCTTGGAAACCCAGTAGGGTTGCTTTATATAACTCAGAATCGACTCAATGGCAGTGGGTTTGGTTTTTTTGTTTTGCTTTGTTTTCTTTGTTTCTGGCTCTGTCCCTGAATTACATCATAAACAGTATGTCCATCATTTAATAGCTAGATTAGAATTGACCAAAGAAGTGTTAGGTATTTGGATGTTCTGTGGGTGCTGAATAAATGAATGAATGAAGAATCAATGCATTTGTCATACTTTATGCTGGTGACTTCCATAAAGAGAGCTAGTGTGTGAAATTTAGAAATATTCTGACTCCCCCACTGTCCAAGATAGTCTCAGCTCAGTCAAAATGTCTAGTGAAAATATGTTTACTTAATACTATATATTCAGTGACAACTTGGTAAGATTTGTTTGTTACTTTTGGCTGTAACACAGTACTTGATGGCCCTAGTCATGCTGCTATAGACCCGCTCAACTTTCCTCATTTGTAAAGAAAAAAAACAAAAACACCACAAATGGCATAGAAATAGCAACACACACAAGCCCATGAGAGATAGACGTGTGTTTTGAGGGGCCCTTCAAATTGATGAACCTTTCTGTCGTAGGTGATCACAGTGGGTAGATAGGGATTAAAAATGATGAAACCCTACATTTCATCAATTTCACAATCTGCCCCTCTGGGTAAGGAAAGTTTCTACCTGCCAAAAGTAGAAAACTTTAAATGAGCACTCTCAGATTTGTCAATTTCGTACTCGCCTATCTTTGTAAAATCGTCTTGTGGCCAGAGAGCAAGGACACTCTGTGCTATTACTCATGCTTCCTGGATGGACACGATTAGAGTGAAAAAGGAACATGTCATTTGTGACACAAGAATTACTGAACATTTAAACCTTGGAAGCACAAAATACGATTATGCTTTGTTTAGCATGGAACTGTTACATCTGACTTTATACTGAGGACAGTTTCTACTCTTTCTGTTTGTACTTTTCTTTTAAATCTCTTAAATATAATAACTAGACAACTTAAACATCCGATAGTTAATGACATTATTATACCTTTAAGTATAATAACACAAGGTTGCTATGAGTGGGAGCCGACTCGACGGCACCTGACAATGGCAGGGCCACCAACTTTAAAAGTGAAGATACGCCAGCCTGTAAAGTTAAACCCATAAAAGGCAGCTGTGACTTGCTTGTCCTTAAGTCTCTGTCTACTACCACCACTTACTGGTTCGGGCTCCCATCCTGGAGTGCCCAATCCATGTCACCTCCTTAGGAGTCTCTGTGTCTCCAGGCTATTCCTTAAAAGGTCGTCTGACTCAGACAGCTTAGTGAGGCAGTAGTGGCTCAGGGGTAAAATTGTCTCCTTCCATGCCAGAGACCCAGGTTTGATTCCCAGGCGGTGCCCTTCAGGTATGGCCATCACCAACCTTTTAATAGAGGGTTACGTGTCGCTCTGATGCTGAACATCTAGATTTCAGTGGAACTTCCAGACTAAAGCATGTAGAGAGAAAGGCCTGGTGATGAACTTCAGAAAACCAGCCAACGAGAACCCTGTGGACCCCCAGGGTCAGGTTCACAGCCCAGCACAGGGATTGGGGTGGTACCGCACTGGGCTGTTCTGGGCAGCATCTTGTTCCATTGGACATGGGGTTGCCATGAGCCAGGGACCGACTCTGCAACATACAGCTTAGTCTTCCTAGGGCTGTCAGTCACTCCGCGCGCTCCAGTATAGCCACGAGTTAGGAAATCTGCTGTTTGGTACATCACTGTTGCCCAAGCCCTCAGTGCTCCCTGAGCCCCACTGGTCCTTCTGCTGGGTTGCTGCCAGACTTTTCCACCATCTCTCTGCCAAAGGGCTGGTACCTGGCAGAGCAGAGGCTGCTAGGAGCCTTCCCTTCTGCAGAGGCTGTTTGATTGTGCCTGTGCCATTTCAGATTGTTAAATGTGTTTTGAATCTTATCCTGGATCTACCCAAAATGGGAATTGGCCCTGCGATCTCCCCGTTAAACCATTTCTGGCTCTCCGCCGTCTTTGAAGTAGCTCATTGTCAGCTTCTACCATCTTCGCTCACCTCACAACTTTCCCTGCCTCCTCGCACTGTTGTCTAATAACAGCAGACTAACCTGGATTCCTCTACGGTCACTTGGCTAGTCTTAGGCCAGACTCATGATGATGATTCTTCTAGAAGAATCTGCCTCCCCTTCTCCCCAGCTCCTTGGTTGTGTGCACCCCCAGGAAATCTTACCTTAATGCTATGCAGTCCTGTCCTCCCCAACCCTCATCTCCTTTAATTCTCCTCACTTTTACCACAGTACTCCGTGTATCTCTGTCACTTCACCTTTGCACATGGGAGCCATGATGGTTTGGGGACTGCCCACTCTGGACTGAAACCCTCGAGGGCGTAGTGCCCGAGTCCTGGGTGAATTCAGTGCCTGGCTGCTGTCAGTTGGCTTCTGGAAGGAGATGGAGTTGGCCTGGCATCCAGCTCCTACACAGCACCATCGAAACTCTCGCAAAACAATGTTTCCTTTCACCATAATTCAACTCCCTTTGCATAACAAAATGTATTTGTTTCCAGTAAACCACTGAGGGCTTTTAGAAGTTAACAGGTGTTTTGAGTTTAGCTGTAACATAGCCAGAAATAACTGGTTTCTTAAAATTTGTTGAGTGGACTTTAGAAATGATTTTTCCCCACGCATCCCATATTTTCCACGCCAGACATCTTGGACTCAGGCCCAACTCAAGTCCTTTCAGTTTCCCATACCTGTTGTTAAGCTGCTGTGTATGTCCTGCTTTCATTCCTGTCCTTGTTTTGTACCCTCAGTCTCCTCCTGCTCCTCGCTCTCTAAGATTCCATAGAGATGGTGGCTTTCTTCTCCTCAGACAGACTTAATCACTGCCTGTTTACACCCATGGGCCTTTGTTCATGCCTCAGGACCACTATAAGCTCCTTTATTGGTGAGTTGAGTTCCAGTAAGAGGCTCTGTGGTACCATGGCTTACAGTGTAGTTCCTGCAGCCAGAAAGCTGGCTTCAAGCTCTGCTCCCACACTTAACAAACTTAAAAACTCAAGCATATACTTTAACCTCTCTCAATTTCAGTTCATCTCTGATGTAGGAATCATGCTATGGAATTTCACTCAAAGTGTGTTAGAGTGAATTAAATGAGATGATTATGTAGAGATTTACAGCGGTGCTTGGCACAGAGTCACTCTTACTGTTACTGCTCTTTGCTTGGTGTTGTGTCTCCCTTGTTAGATTGTGAAATTTGAAGGGCAGGGACCACAGCTTATTTCATTGTCTGTCTCCAGGCTGGGCATAGTGCCATGTACAGAGTAAACATCCAATCAGTGTTGTTGAATAAAATTAACAGCCAACCCTAATTAGCAAAGAAAATCAGTTCAAAAATTAATTCTCAAGGCCAACATAATCTGTTAATTTTCAGCAGTGAGAAAATTAAAATGGTATACAGTTAATAATTAATTATACTCACAAAAATGATGAGAGTATATCATAGTACCAGTGTTTAGAATTGAGTAGGTAGGAAAGGAAATGTGGATAAATTAGTATTTTATTGTTTCAAATCAGGTAACTCTGACACGTTCTTATTTGAGTGCTGGAATTCTACAGACTATAACCCAAGTAAAATTTCTGAAAATTCTAATGTATTAATTACACGTAGGAGGAGATCCAAATTGTGTCATAAGAAATTATGTTAGCATCTCGTGGAGGTATTTGAGTTGATGTCCATTATGCTACTTATCATTCTCTTCTTGGTTTAATGCCCCTATAAATAGAGACATCAACATGAATTTGGCAGATGAAATAGTAAGAGCCCTGTGACAACATTCATGTCACGCATGTTCATGCTTTATAAACTGTCAGTATTAAAACGAATACCAAGACTGAAGTGTCAGAATCAGAACATGATGGAGTTCTCAGTTATTGTTAGTACGTCAGTTACTTAGTTATTTCCTCTTCCTGCAGTGGTTGCATTCAACGATGTCTCTGTAATAATAATGAAAGCACCACTCAGGTGTGTAGCATTCTGTGCTTGTCCTGGACATGATTCCATTTGGACTGCTCGGGTGTTTGTTAGAAACATGGCTCTTGTTGTGTTGAGGGCTGTCACGTTGATTCGATTGATAGCAACCCCACGTGACAGAGTAGAACTGCCCCATA